CATAAATATAGAAACAGCAGAGCACTTTATTTTATGCCTGTGACATGATCCAAAACGTGAAGCTGAGCTGCGAAACCATAAATATAGAATTCATCTCTGTCTATTAGGACACAAACTGACACAAACTGACACAAACTGAGTCAAACTAACACAAACTGACACAAACTGAGTCAAACTAACACAAACTGACTCAAACTGACACAAACTGACTCAAATGACACAAACTGACACAAACTGACTCAAATTGACACAAACTGACTCAAACTGACACAAACTGACTCAAATGAAACAAACTGACACAAACTGACTCAAATTGACACAAACTGACTCAAACTGACACAAACTGACTCAAACTGACACAAACTGACACAAACTGAGTCAAACTGAGTCAAACTGACACAAACTGACACAAACTGAGTCAAACTGAGTCAAACTGACTCAAACTGACTCAAATGTCACAAACTGACTCAAATGTCACAAACTGACTCAAACTGACACAAACTGAGTCAAACTGACATAAACTGACTCAAACGGACACAAACTGACTCAAATTGACACAAACTGACTCAAACTGACACAAACTGACACACTGACTCAAACTGACACAAACTGACTCAAACTGAGTCAAACTGACACAAACTGACTCAAACTGACACAAACTGACACACTGACTCAAACTGAGTCAAACTGACACAAACTGAGTCAAACTGAGTCAAACTGAGTCAAACTGAGTCAAACTGAGTCAAACTAAAACAAACTGACACAAACTGACACAAACTGACTCAAACTAAAACAAACTGACTCAAACTGACACAAACTGACACAAACTGACTCAAACTAAAACAAACTGACTCAAACTGACACAAACTGACTCAAACTGAAACAAACTAACACAAACGGACTCAAACGGACTCAAACTGACACAAACTGACTCAAACTGACACAAACTAACACAAACGGACTCAAACTGACACAAACTGACTCAAACTGTCAAATACGGACATGAAAAAATGAAGTGAACCACCGCATCCCTCGATGATTGAGACAAAAGACAACGATATTAAGGATCAACTCTGTTCCTGTACAGCTGGGTAGGCCCCTGTTCATTATTACAATCATCAAAAAGCAGAACAGTGGGGATTTATTACGTTATATTCAGTAGGAAGTTAGCTAGCGTTAGCTAACTAACATAACATTAGGAACAATCCACAGCCAACATGTATCTGGATTTATTTCAGGTTTTGGAAAGAGAATAAATCGTACTTCCCCTTTCAACCTCTCTGGGTAGCAACTGTAACTATTACAAGTGCCCCAGGAACAGCGTTTGACCATATCTTAGAAAAATACAGCCATAAAAAGCTAGAAAACAACTCTTTTTGCATTAGAGTCAATGGAGCGCAGCCATGAAAGTGTCGGACCTCAGTTAGAGCGACTTCTATACTGTGCTGTGATTGGCCAACTGTGTATTCAGGGCGTGGCTTAGCGATGGGTCAATTTCTCAACTCTTGTACATTGTTGTTTTCCATGATATTAACAATTTCAACATTTCATTCCTTTTTGTTTTGTTTTCATTTTTAACAACCATCTGTTTTGTTGTTACTTCCTAGTGTAGCCTAATTGGTGGTTAACTGAAAACAGCCTTTCTTAAGAGGTGTGACTCTGTGTTGGACAGGAAACCTTACTTTTTTGTAGAGCATTGAGTTTGTCTCTGAACTTATCTTACATGTATTATAAATAAAGTTGTTTTTAAAAAAATAAAGCCTAGAGTAAGTGCAGTCGGTTTCTCTGCGAGTCCTTGCAAATTCTCCTTCACGTCTTTCCTTGATCTCATAATTTAATTTTCTACCGCAACCTCAGGTTCTCTATTAGCAACAGGAAGTTACGTCACAAAACAGGAAATGGACCAAACGTTAAAAAGGGGCATGTTATATAGTCAAAACATCTGTCTTCCTACAGCTCCACATTCAGCATGTTAAGAAATACACAGATAGTACAATCGACTTACTGTCACAGTGTATTAAGTCTTTGTAAAGTTGAGACTGTCCTCTAAGATTAACTTGTGTGACACACTGAGCTCAGACGACACTCGGTATCTGTCTGTCACAAGGTCACTGAGTACAAACTCTCGGGCCTGCTGAGCCACTTCGCAGCTACAGAAAGTAAATCAGAGATGCTCACTGTACTAAAACAGAAATCTGCTTATCAAGAAGGAAATAAACAGGTCCGACCGGCTGAGAGCTGACAGGGTTCATGTACAAAGGCGAGGTGAAAAAAATGGTTATGAAAGAGTAATTTCGCTTTAATTATTGTGACGGTGGCTTTTTGTTTTATTTGGCAGTAGCAGATTAGAAAGGGGGAGCTTTTTCCATTCTCATCTGTTCTATTTACCCACACTAAATCAGTCAAGATATATTATGTATACAGTATGTAAATTACATGTGCAACTCCTGACAATGGTAAATACCTGGAATTACCAATTGAATTGATGGGAGTATTGATGAAATACTCTGTTACCAGAAATAGTCCTGAATAAAAATTTTACAGACGTGAAAGTATGAAAGTATTTACTTAAAAGGTACCAAAAGTGAAAGTACTCATCAATGTGTATCTCACTGTAATGTTGCAGCTGGTAAATGTGGAGCTAATTTGAATTACTTTATATCTTAGTGTCTGGGTCCTAACTTAAATTGAACTGACCTGAAGGCACACGAGTCCCTCTGCTGGCCAAAGTAATGCTGCACAACAGCAGACGGCATCAATTCACCGAGGCACTTGGTCAGGGAGGGACTTGGAAACCAGTTGTTGAAATTGAGAACTGGACAAAATTACTGACGTTTCATCCTTAAACACACCAGCCAAGATAATTTCCAGCCAGCCATTGTTAATGTATGTTATTTTATTTATTTACTTTGTCCCTCCTTTTCCCGTCATGCCTTCATCTTCACATGGTGTTTCTTTTGTTTGGGTTCATTCTCTCAATAAAGGCAACAAAGGCGTTTTAGGGTCAGTTAACACATACTTGAGATGACATACAGGGGCCTGGTAGAAAATATTTTACAGTTTAATGTAACAGCTTGGTGTGGCAATCTGAATGTTAAAGACAAAAACGAGTTTTCCAAAATTGTTAATATTGCGGGGAAGGTGATCAAAAGCACAAAGCCACAAAATCGGCTCGCTGATGTATCTGACAGTGTGGTGCTCAGGGAGGCCAGACAGATATCTGGCGATGCCTCACACCCAATAAACTCAGAGTCTGAGCTGCTCAGTTGCTGTGTTGTACTCTTAATTGTGTATTTTTAATATAATAAGAAGATAATTGTGATGTCATGGTTATATTTTGGTTTTGGAGGAGTCAAAGACAAATTTTCACTAATGTGGACAATAAAGTCTAATAATAATAATAAAATGAAATCCAAACAAATATATTTAAATATAATAACACACTGGAGTAACAGTATTTTCTCTGAAATGTTGTGGAGTATAACATTAAAGTAAAGTATGTACTATAGCAAATATATTTAACAGCATAAAACCAGATAACAGAAGCAAGACAGACGTGAGAGATACAACAAACCTCTCCTCAACTTAAGAAAACAAATACCAAACTTATAGACATTTACAACACATGAACATAAGTGAAATAATATATAATGCAAATATCAAAGCAAAGAAAAGTTCTGTATAATCCCTTTATTCCTGCTGAGTACAATAATATATTAGATTTTTTAAAATTATATTATATATATATTATAAATATATGTAATCTCAGCCAGTAACGTGTTGTTTTAGGTGGAAGTTTTATTAATAATGACATTGAAACATTGGGTTCTGCTGAACTTGACTGGTGTTTAAGGGAGAGTCAGAAGTGACATCGTTCAGCTGCTTTATTATCTACAGTATTTAACACTAGCCAGTAAAGATGTTGGATAAGAGCTGATGTAATTTAGTGCAGATATTGGCCGATTATCTCAAAATGCCAGATATGGGTCCATAATGATCGTTTTAACATACATATTGTTTTTACTTGTATGTTTAAGGTCATCCTGTGTGTCATTAAGCAAAATAGCCACAAACAAAAAAATGACAACACACAAAATAAAGAGAAGAAAAATACACGAATAAAGAAAAGGAAAGATCATAAATTAAATTTTCTTTTCAAAATCTTTTACCTTCGGTATTCTGAAACTAAACAACAGACCTCTGAGGGGAGGTTTTCAGACTGTGAGGCACAGAGAGGCGTGAGGGGAAGCTGCTGCATGATGAGGAGTCATTTAGTCATCACTCTTCTCTGAGCATCTAACACAGAGACATTGTGAGCATTTCTTTTTTTTGTTTGTTTCAGTATGACTTACCCTTTCAGAGGATATGCTTATCTTCGATGCCCATCGTGAGTAAACGTCCATTCACCCACTTACAAATAAGAAAGAAGATAAGAAAAAAGACGCTCCAAAACCTGCCTGAGAATCTTCATGTTTTTAAGTTTACGTCAGTATCACAGTAATCTTGTGATAGTTGTCTGTAAATCCATGGGTCCACTGCTAACCGGAGCTGCTAATAGCTAATTCGGCATACTTTTAATGGTGCCAATGTGACAAAATGAAAACAAAAAACACAATAACTCACTTGTAGCTAACAGATAACTGCCACCATTGTACGTCCTGTTACATTCTCCAAAGCATTATGGGAACTGTAGTTTAAAAACCTTACAGCATCATTATCCCCAAATAGAGGAAAGACAATTCATGAATATTGATAATCAATTAATAGTGGTAGTATTGATACATTACTAAGGGCCAGAATGTCTCATGATTCTTATGTTACTCAAATACAACACTCTCCTCTATCCTTCCATGTACAAATACTTGCAATGTATTTTTTTGTCTATTTACTTACTACCACCACTGAAAATATCTCCTCTAATAGTTAGTAATAGATCATTTTCAACAGTCATGCTAAACTTCACTTTCATACGATAATATCAAACACAGAGGACCACGAGAATCTGTTTAGAAATATATTTTCTCAGACAAATGCTACACAGTTGTTACAGAGGTCCTGCTTTTGATGTCATTGATCGCAGAAAATACCCATGGTGCTACAGGAAACAAAAACAGATCATGTACAAAAGTGACAGACGGGATGACTCAGCAGAGAGAGAGAGTAAACAGTATATGAGATCTGTAGCGCAGCATTTTCTCTCTTTACCTGGAAACTCAAGTGGATCTGGACATCTCACACAAAGCAACAGACGTATTAGATGAACTTCACATTCAGTATCCATAAATGCACTTGCATATAATTTGTGTTCAGTCATGCAAAACACTTTGACACTTACAAATGACAGCTTACACAGGCATGCAGGAAATCACATCCCAAAACCTTCCACATGTAAAATACTCCGGAGATTATAAACCGATAACCAACTCTGACTGTTTGGCCAAAAGCAAAGATTCAACGTAAAATAAACTGCTGCTGGACTTTAAACTGGGATTTAAACATTAAGTCTTCTTGGATCAAATGTTTCCTGGAAAAATGCTCACATAATGCATCTTATGGAAGATTTAAAATGCCAAAAATAAAAACAAATCAAACAAAGAAATAAAGCTAAATACAAAACACACTGTTGTATATTTTCCTTTTCATGTTTGCATTTACTGCTTCATTATTAAATGGAAAACAATTCCAGTATAAGTAAAAGTAGCAATACCAGAGTGTAGAAATAAATAGTATTAGCCTCAAAAGTAAAAGTACTCATTAAGCAGTATGGCCCATTTCAGAATAATTTATATTACTGGATTATAATCAGAGTTTGGAGGGTTTGCAGGAAACACATAAATATACGGAAGCAAATAACACTCTGCTTTCCGTTTCATGGAAACTTTAAGTAATCCCTGTAATGTAATCTGATGTCTTTTTTCCCCCCTGTACTCTAAAAGAATACACATTACCTTTTTTTCTATCTTTATTACGTAACGCTGTTACGTGTAATCTGTTACTCCCCAATCCTGATTATAATTAATTATTGATTTATGACTTCTATATAAAGTTGCAGCTGGCAAATGTGGAGGTTATTACTTTATATACCGCTGGGGAGTTTGTACATGAAAGTAAATGTAGTCGAGTAAAAAGTACAATATTTGCCTCTGAGGTGTAGTGAAGTAGACATAAAATGTAACAGAAAATAAAAAACTCAAGGTCAAGTCATCAAAATTGAACTTAAGAGCAGTAATTGAAAAAAAGAACTTTCCACCACTGATCAGGTGTCTCGAAGAGGTGCAAGGGAGCAGAAACTATCTATCCAGCTTGAGGACACATTACATGCATCCATAAAACGGACATTCATATTATAATGTGTACTGCATTGCACTTTGTTTGCTTTGTTTTTATTAAGGCATTTTAAATCTTCCATACATTATCAGTTTGTCGGGTGATAGAAAACATTTTCCGATCTTGTGTCACTTTGCTTTGATGAGTTTAAAAACATAAATATTGTTGGGACAATTTATACATAAACCAGTAAAGTGATGTTAGTAAATGTGCATAGCAAGTCCAGGTTAAAGACTGTGGTGGAGGAAGTGTTCAAATCCTTTCCTTCAGTATAAGTACCAGTACTACACTGTAGAAATACAGTTTTTTTTTACGTGCATAGTAATCTGTTTTGGGCAGAGGTGGAAGAAGTACTCAGATTTTTTACACAAGTAAAAGTAGCAATACTACAGTGTATAAATACTCTGCTAAAAGTACAATTCCTGCATTCAAAATGTAACTTTGGTAACAGTACAGAAGTATTATCAGCTAAAGTATCAAAAGTACTCATTGAGTAGAATGGATATATGTTATTTTACTAGATTATAATCACTGCTGATAGTAAAGATGGGACTAAACTGAATTACTTTATATACTGCTGTGTATACTTATTTTATCTTGACCTGTAATAATACATAAAGTAGCAGAAAATGGCCGATGTACTTGGCATAATGGTTGTTGTTGTTGTTATTTTGTATCGTGTTTTCGTAGTATCCGGACGACCTCTCCTTTTCCTTACTATATTGTTTTTGTCCACCACCTGTGCACAACCTTTCACGGAGACCGAGGCTAAATACCCCCTGATGACATCACTATGACGTCGTCAGGGTTATTTACTCAGGTGCTGGAAAGAAGCTATTTTGTACAAAGCACATAAAAGGAGCAGTTCATAAATTTAACATGCATAGTGTCATGTGGATTTTAACCAGATCTGACATGTGTTTTTACTGGAGGCGTTAATTACGGAGTGAGTGTGTGTAATCACTGTCACACATGGAACAACACTGGCAGGAATAACATGCAACTCTGTCTTTAAAGTAACATTACACACACATCAAGTTTAAAAATACCACAAAAATGTTCAATGAAGTAAAAAAACTTAGAGTGCAACGATTCCATGCAACAGTAGCTTCACACATGCATACTCTTTACAACATATACATTCATAACTCACATTGTTATATATGTTTAGGTTCATTCTGTTTGTGTGCGAGTATCGTTATAAGAAATAAAAGGGATTTAAAAAACATTTAGCATTATTTTTACAAGATTTTAGAAAATAAATCAGTGTCTTTCCACAGTAACAAAACAAAAACAACAGTTGCAGCTCCTCGCGATAATTCAAAATATACAAGGAATGTATAAATAACAGTTTACAGTGTTTACAGTGGGAGACGCGACTGAGCAGCTAGCTCAGGTTTGTCCTCTTGCGTTTGTTGGGACTTTGTCCGGGGTCGACCTTCAGCTCACGGTACTGCATCTGTCCACACACACACACACACACACACACACACAGTCAGGTAGATGCAAACACACAGATAAAACTACCATGACTGATTCAGACTCTATGAGCACTAACACACATGTGGCATATATGTACGACATGCTTTCACACGGTTCACATGGTTCAGATTATTCTGGGCTGCACTACTGCCAATAAAAATACAAATAATAATACAAACTACTACTAATAATAATAATAACATTGACATTGATTGATTTATCTAACAATAATAATAATAAAACTTATTTGTATTGTATTTTTTGATCCAAACAATGCTCTTAAAGTACAATAAATGACATCACATGCACAGATTGCTTCAAATTAAAAGACAGAATGAGCATAAAAAACAAGGATAGACCCTGTGTGTGTTTTGTGTTTCTCTTTTATTATTATTTTTTCATTTTCCTGTTTATTATGATAGTCTATTATTACTATTATTTAGGGCTGACCCCGAAAAGTCGAAGATTTGATGCTTAGATGGGCGGAGCCTGATTCAGCTGTCAATCTCAGAGTCGAAGCTTCGCAGCGAAACGAGGATCGTGCCATTTTGGCGATATGGGGGTGCTCAATGTCTGATTTTATGTAGAACTACCAGTTTTCTCCCAATAAGTTAATAAACAGCCTGTTACAATATACATTTCAACATATAATGCTGTAAATAAACATGTAAAAAAAACTTTCAATAAATGTTTTTAAAGTGCGTGAATGAATCCAGAATTGTAACCCTAACCCTGGGTCGTCACTGCGCATGTGTAGTTGTATGTGTGGTGGCGGTAGAGGAACACTTGCTGCAGAGACGGAGCTCCAGCTTCACTGGTGTTGTGCCCAGTTGTTCGCACCTTGCGGGACTTTCGGATAATTTATCACCGATGATGAACCACACAAAGATATGTTTTATTATGAGAGGCCGTTTAGGGTGAAAACATTAAAAAACAGACACACGCACACTGAAAACTGTCACACACGCACTGACAATGTGCGCATATACACTGAAATACAGGGGTATCTGAGTGTGTGCGTGTAAAATTATTTTAGTGCGCCCGGAAGCTGTTGTAGTGTAACAGGAAGCCTTAGATTCCTGTCCTAACTTTCAAAATAAAAGCATAGCTAACATGATGAAACATGGATTTCAGTGCGAGTGGTATTCCTTGTTCAGAGAGATTGTTTATCTAAGCAATTATATGAACAGTTAATCATTTATTATATTTATATATTTAGTTCAGCATCCCTAAACCTACAGGGAGGAATATTTATTGTATGTCACATTTAATTTTTGCTCCTCACCTTCAGATATTTTATAAACTTCATCTCTGTCTTCTTATTCACATGAAACCTACAACACTTCACTTTATGATCTACAATATGCAATGATTTGCTGAGCTTATTATACACATTCTACATGTATTTTGACCATGAATATCTAGCTAGCTGCATCGGTGACTTCCTGTTACAATGAAAGAGGAACTGAAATGACTTCACAGGCACACACTTAGATACACACACAGACAAGTAGCCTGTATCCTACTCTGGGTGAAGTTTGTGTGTGCGCACATTTTCAGTGTGTCTGTGCCTGATTTCAGTGCGTGTGCTTGGTGTTTTGTTGGTGCATGTATGATCATTTTCAGTGTGTATGTGCACATTTTCAGTGTGTATGTGCCAGTATTTCCGTGTTTTCAGTGTATGTGCGCACATTGTCAGTGCGTGAGTGACAGTTTTCAGTGTGTGTGCGTCTGTTTTTCTCTCATATTTTATTGTTTTTAAATAGCCGGCTACTTCAAATAGACTCGCGAGGAACAGCGACGTGCATGTAGTTGTCGGCAGCACGGCATGCACGCAAACCTCTGCACAAGACCGGTGAATGGCAGGCGAGAGAGAGAGAGAGAGAGAAAAGGGTCAACAATAAGCCTCAGTTTAGCTGGATTTTGTAAGTTAAATGAACAGAGACTGCAGCTTCTCAAGAGATCGCTTTAGCTCAGCTAGGATAAAAATGAGGAATGAATTACATAAGGTGGAAAATAAAACTGAACAATATGAACTGGTTGGTTGTGAAACGTCTAGGAATCCCTTTTGAACCAACATGTCTTCATCCCTGAACTGACACAGTCCAACGACATGACATAAAACACGTGATTAACGTTGTGACACTGTCGCAGTTTTTTATACTATAGTTTGTCACCTGACTTCCTCTTTTGCTACCATCATCGGGCACTAGAGGTCGGAGTCTAAAACGTAAATATGGGTTGAAGTAAGCGGCTGCATAATCAATGTATTGTCTTTGTTAAGATAAGTTTGGCATCAAAAGACACACAGTGACGGTCAGAAATAGGTTAATCTGCTACTTCAGGATTAATCAATCCTGAATCCAGCTCTGAGAATCCTGCAGAAACATTGATGGCCGATATAATGTAATGATGAGCACTGATAAATCTGCTTTGAGCTCAAGAGCGAGACATTCAAATGCTGTAAATTCACCACTGTGTAGAGAAAATGGCAGCAGTCGCTCCTCCTCCCTTCCTGTTTAGTCTGACTGCTGCTAAAGATTAAAGTTTGGAGGACAAGCCTCTGTCAGCACCAGCAGTGCTGTTTACACAGACCTCAGCTAAAAACATTACATTCTGGTCAATTATCAGGTTGTTGAATAAAAGGGATCCAATGATAAAAAAAATATCTCATTTCAGCTGTAGGGATTCTCTGATTGCTACGATGTGTTTGACCAAACCAGCGGCTGTTTATCTTTACAGGATGTGGCACGGCATCTCATCTCTGATAGACTCCTGAGTGACGATGTTTGTGATTATTGCTGCTTAGTAGTTCGTCAATTTGACTGAGCTTCAGAGTGACAGCTGTAAAGGTCTGGGTGAGAGGAATCGATTGATACCCCGCACATCACTGTGGGAGCTTCTGTTATCGGCCCGAAAAGCACTCAGTTCTTAGTTTTGTAGAAAAACTCCCAGTCTTTTTTTATTCAGATGCACGCCTGATGTTTAAAGTTATTCATAATCTCGAAAAAACTGAGGTTGTAGTACTCAAACACCTCTGAGACACATTGTCTGCAGACATAGTTGCTTTGAATGGACTGCCTATTTTCACCTTTGCAATACTGCAAAAATTAGAAACCTTCCGCGTCGAGATGAATCGGGGAAACTTGTCCATTGAGAATTGATTTTAAAACACTTCTTCTTACATACAAAGCCCTTAATGCTCAGGCACCATCCTATACAGAAGAACTTCTTACACCATCCTGCCCCACTGGAACACTGCGCTCCCAAAATGCAGGGCTGTTGTAGAGCCGAGGGTCTCTAGATGTAGAATGGGATTCGGGAAGCAACCTACATTTCCATATTTAAGAGTAGGCTAAAAACCTTTCTTTTTAGTAAAGCTTTTAGTCAGGGATGGTTGTTCTTTATTTTGTGAGAAGGCTTATAGTGTGGGCTAGGGTATTTTATGAATTTTCACACTATATTTTAATTGTCTATTTTATTTTATTTATTAGTGGTTTTTTAATGTGTGTATCTTGTTATGTGTTGTTAGCTTTTTTTTCTTATCCATTTCTGAAATCTTTATGTGTCTGTTTTCTGTAAAGTGTACTGGGACCACACAGCTGGTGATTTTACACTTTATATAAATTTGACTTGACTTGACATGAATGTCCCAGCTGCTTATTTGTGGTTGGAGGGTTGGGCTAATGGGTATTATATGGGGTGGAACTATCATATTATTGTTGTTTTTAAATGGCTCTGTAGTGTGAAGCACTTTGTGTTACACGTATTTGTATGAAAAGTGCTATATTAATAAAGATTGATTGAATGTATTGTGCTATTGTATGTGGTGTATTTGGTGTTCGGTGGTTGTTTTGTGTCTTTCAAAAGATGCAAATTAGCTGCTAGCTAACTCTGGTGCCATTAGTTTTATTGTGCGCTGCTAAAAATAAAATAAAAAGTCAACATGTAAACAGTAAATATGACCGAAACATGCACACCACCTGGGAATATCTTTATAAATTGTATCATATATGTTGTATTTCAGTTTATTTTCATCAAATGTACAGTTTCAGTGGTAGTCCAGGTGTATTAGAAGATATTCAGTTGCATTATAATCTGCAGGATGATGGTTATCATGGTGGTATTGCCTTTGAAATTTATATTTTATACCAGGCGAGGATGAAAAACTACTCTGTAGTGGTTACATAAATAGGTTTATGTAGAATGGATTCATATTCATTAGCTTCTGACCTAACAAAGGAGACCAGAATTATTTATACATCTAGGCCAAATAGTTGAGGAGTTTCCCTAATTCACTTTGGGTGTGTATTTTTAGGCCTTTTCCTGGAAATAGGGGCAGATAACTGTGTGTAGTGGTGGGGGTACGTTGGATCCTTCCTCTGCAGGCCTTGGGCGATGTGGAGCAGAGGTCTGGTGGTGGTGGTGGGGAGGGGGTGCTGACCTTGTCCTTCAAACCTCTCCATGCATTCTTGTTTTAGCACGCAGGGTATGACGTAGGATGGCACCGAATGGTCTGCAACCAGTGATGTTTGGATAATTCAGGTTTAAAGCGATCTTCACGGTTCCAAAAGAGACAGAAACTGTCCAAAAACTTTAGCTGGGTGATATGTCAGGCTTGTATTCACGGAAAGCAGTCAGCCAAACGTTGGACTGGTGCCTGATGTCTTTTGTTCAGTGGCAAACCTGCATCTGTCACACAGTCAGCGAACCAGAAGTGGATGTGGACCAAACTGGATCATTTTTTATTGCTTTCACACAAAATGCCACTCTTTTTCTCATTACTACTCCACCACTACAGCACGGTTTTCAAATGCAAGTCAAACCAGAATGATGGCAGATGTCCCTTCAGAAACCAGACTGAAATATTTAGAAAATCTTAGCAGAATATTTACAGTAAATTTTAGGTTTATGTCTTTATGTGGAGAGAGAAGGAAAAAAAGTGTGGTTCAGAGCTGCAGTCTGAGTGTAAAGTAGGAAATATGTTTGTATTTTAACAGACTAGGTTGAGGTTTATTTTTTACAAGTAAATTACTATATGCATTGATATAGAAAAGAAATTAAGGATATTGAAGTAATTTTCTGTATTTTCTGGTTCATTCTTGTTACATAAACTTTAATACAGTCAATAATGTAAAGTATGTTATTCTAATGAAATACTAATTTATGTAAAAACTCATTAAAATGTCAAAGGTAGAAGTTTATTATTTTGGTATTACGCTCCTTGTTGTTAGTGTTTTTAGGTCAGTGTGTTATGAGTGAGAATGGATGCCAGTGTTTTTGGTTGAATGAGTTTATTTTGAGACGATATATGAAATCTTTTGGTGGTTTGAGTGTATTTTGGTGAGATTAACCGTTTGGGAAAGTTGGCAAAGCAGACTGTATGATGAGTTTTGTAAAAGTGGCTTCAGTTCTGACTGTGCAATTGAAAAAAACTGCAATACATTTTGCAGACAGTCGTTCAGTTTCTCCAGCAGCAGGGCGAAGAGACCGTTTTCCTTCTCTTGACCCAACGTGGATGATAATCTTCAAGTTTCTTGGATGTGTTGAGAGGATAACTCGCAGCAGTCGTGTTAGCTCCCTGATAGATCCAGTATGTCAGCCGTGTTTAGATTTTCAGTCTTTGCAGTTCTTACATGCCTGGTTATGGAGTCTCAGATTAGTGTCTGGCTTATCAGGTGTGGAGTTTCCAATATTTACTCTGGCGCTCAGCATTTTTCTTGGGTTTTCTTTAGCCTTAATGCTAGTGGTCTGTGGGTCGCACCTGTTTTGCAAAGGGAGTTCTGGTGGTGGAGGGAGCGTTGGTGCTCGCTCATCTGATTTCTTGATGGATTTGTCTTTTCGACGGACAACGTCAGACCAGCTGGAGTTGATGCTTTCACAGTAGCTCCAGTGACGGGCCAGTAAGAAGCATCACTAGGGGAAGGCTGGTTTAGGAACTAATCCACATCCAAAAGAGAGTGTCAGCCAAGTCTGTGACCTGGTGCTCTACATTTGATGTAATCCTGGGTATAAAAGTCCGTCCCTTAACGTCTGGCGGCTCGGCACCTTCCTCAGTGACTGCTACAGAGTGAATGAATGTCTCACTCTCACGTGAAGTGTTTGAATCTTCTTTGAAGCTGTGTTATCCCCTCAGTCATTTGCCATCTTGTCCTTGTTCTAATTCCGAGTTTCCAGTCACAGACACAACAAAAGGCTTGTGCGGTTTGTAGGTCACGCTCGCGCTGTACTGAAGAAGTAATAAGTGTGTGAAGTGAAGTGATAATTCATGAATTTAAGTCCAGGTGATGTATCCACTTTCAGCAGCTTTTGGCAGAAATGTTTATCTTCTCACGGCAGCCAAATTGCTTGCTTAAGAACAAAACTCCCTGCTGTCTGGCTGTGAAACAGCTTTGGGAAAGATCTCACAGTAATTTGACTAATTATGTCCACTTTAAAGATGTTTTAATTAGGGCTTGTCCTTTCAAGTTTAAAGGCTCATCTTTGCCCCTGAATAAAAACTGAAGGACCAGGGATCTCATTTATAAATGGTGCGTACGTACAAAACAAGGCTGGAAACGTGCTTTGGCCACTTCCCAAGCAAAGGATGTGATCTATAAAAAACAAACTTGACGAGAGAATGTGCGTCCCGTAAGTAAACTCTGAAGCATGTGTACGCACTTAAAGAGGAGAAATGAGAAACAGCGACTCACATGGCAGAAGGATGAAACGGTTTGAAATGAATAGGCCTACTACTGTGTAAAATATACATACGCAACATTTCAAGTTGATTGTGATTTATAAAGGGAACTTACTTATAACTGGTTTCTACCCACAGTTTTATAAATGAGACCCCTGATGGTTAATTGTGTGGTTAAACTATACTTTACAAACACTTGATGCCAAACAGTGGATCACTTCACATATCTGAGGTAGAACATTCAAAACAATTACGAATTCTTTTTTCAAAAAATATGATTAGTAAATCTTTCTTCCTTCCCTTTTCCTCAACAAAATAAACATCTTAATAGAAAAATAAAGTGCTAATTTGTTTGTGATTCTAAAGAATTAAATCAAATAATTATTGACGATATATTGTTTTGTATGTATTGCGATAACTACCATTATTGTTTTATTGCCTTTATTGCCCAGCCCTCGTTATAAGACATAAAAATACTCATCTTGGAATAATAATAATCTGTGTCTATTATGTTTTTTTTATAAAACGGGTAGCTCAAATCAAGCAATCTGATTGGTTCACAGTGGTGGTATCATGAGCGTGTGAAACGCTATGACGTCGAATTCCTTTGCACAGATGCGTATCACTCTGTGACAAAGTAACGTTAGAAAGTAACACCAGGCACGGTATCAGTACCACACACCCATCGACCACAGTATCACCTGGCAACAATGTCGCCAAGAATACGCAAGCAAGCGGACACGGCAAAGATACACAAACCACTGTTTACTGTTATACGTCACTGTGTGCGTGTTTTTTGAGGGTTTGCATTCCAAGTTAAATATGAATAAACAAAAAAACCCTCTTCATCATGCATCCCTGACTGGAGAAAAAAAGGCAACAGCTTCATTCATTCCTGCATTTCCATACTTTGTTCCACATCTTCCACGTGCAGTATCCCTCCAGTCACAAAGATCTTAAACATGCTTTCCTTTCTGCATCACAAAGCGAACATGAGCTACGCACCACTTGGACATCAGAGGGAACTCTGGAAAGGAAGTCCAGAAGCTCGTTGTTGTCGATCATGTACGGATCACGTAGCTTCTTGGTGAACTTATTCACACCTGCAGAAGAAAGAAATCAGCTCAGAGTATATATGCAAAGTTGTGGAACCAACTGGTGGAACAAAACCGGGACTCACCCCAGGCCAGCACAAGGTATCGAAGAGGTATGAGGTAGAGAAGAACCGTGGCCGAGCACAAGGCAGTGATCGCCAGCCAGCTTAGAAAAGGCACTCTCCAATTAAAGGTGCTGCGGAGGGAAGAAGAGCAGAACACAAAGAAATATCAAGTGTTGCTGTATGAGTGAGGAAAATGTCAGAAACAAATGAAACATATTTTAAGCTCGGGGTGTTGGTGGGAGCCAGGCTAGCTGTTTCCACCTGTTTTCAGTCTTTATGCTAAGCTAAGCTAACCAGCTGCCGGTTATAGCTTCATGTTTATATGAGTGGTATCAATGTTCTCGTCTAACTCTCCGCAAGAAAGCTAATAAACTTTATAATCCAGCAGCATATTTTATAAGCTTTTTGTGTGTTTTGGGTGCCAAAATCTTAATTTGTAAAGAAACTAGTGACTAAAGCCATTAAATCTAATGTGGTGGAGTAAAAAGTACAACATCTCCCTCTGAGACTGAGACGCAGTGGAGGAAAAGTAGAAAGTGGCAAGACAAGGAAAAGAGAAGTAGAGGTTAGTACTTATAGTAAGCTTTTCTTATCTGGGTTTTAGCTGCTGGACAGTCAGAAGAAAATATTTAGATAGATGATGATTTTAAAAAGCTCACTTCTTTATTCTCTCTCCGTACGACGCCACCTCATCCAGAGCGCTCTGTACGCTGATGAACACGTCTTGGATGGCGTATAGTTTATCCATGAAGCCCTTGGGCTCTGAATCCTGAAAAGAACGAGGGAAAGATCTGTGTTTTAACATTCAGTACTGTGAACGCCGGCCGATATCACACATGGATGACGACACTACCTTGTCCTCTTTATCCTCTTCAATATCTTCCCATTCAAACATGGCCTCCATGGACTGCAGCAGAAAAGAAAGCAGTGACATTCAACACTTGTCTGAAATGGTGTTGTTATATCATTATAAAAACAAAGTGCTTCTAACCGTGTCAGCTGTTTCCTTGCTCGGGCAGAAGAAGTAGTTCCAGACCAGCAGCAGCAGCAGCGCCAGCGGCAACATGTAGAGCTCGAAGTTCCACACCACCACCACAAACAGCTGCGGATGAAAGCAAGGAAAACGTGAGACTGGCTGCTTCTCATTCCTCTAACACGTCAGCTCCCTCGCGCGCGTCTCAATCCTAAATCATCTCCCATGTACGATGCAAGGAAAACATCTGAGGAGAGAGGAATCAACGTCCTCTGCAGAGACATCGGATGCTAATGACGACAGAGTCAACAGATGATTTTTTAACACTATATTGAAGACATCTTCAACGCAAAATAAAAATATGAGTGAGGGGTCTGGCAGTCCATCCCCAGGAAAATTTGAGCATTAAGCACTTTATTTCCTGCAGTCTGGTGATTTTTTTCTGCACCGATTTATGGTGGAAATGTTTTTATTAATGTAAAGTGAAACAAAAGACGGGAAACTCTAACAGAGTCTAAGTCAGCGCAGCTCTCAGGCATCCTGTATTGCTTTCAGTTCACACTTCTGTTTTCTCATTTTAATATCATCCCTGCTGAGTCAGCACACATGCAGGTGTGATTTAGTCTTCCCTCCTCCTCCTCCTTTTGTCATGTTTACAGGAAGAGAACAGAAAGCAAAACGACCAGGTGATCTCTTGAAAACTCATCTCTTCCGAGAATACTTCTTCTTATAACACCTCTAACATGTACTTCCTGTGCTTTTCTTCTTCTTCTATCCACCTACAATTATCTTGTATTGATTGCACTTTTTGTTAACTCTTCCCTCCTTCCCTATGTATTTACCCCACTGATGCCATATGTGCCATTAGCGCTTACTAGTATTTATTGCTGCTCTTACTAATATGTGTGTTTTTGGGTCATTTTATATTCAGTGGCTTGTTAATTAAGATGAAGTTCCTTTTTTGGACAACACACTTTTGTTTCCACTAGATTTAAATTGCATTGCATGTTTTGTTACTGTGCAAATAAACCAGTGGTGGGGACATGTCCCCAGGGTCCCCATTTTAAATGACACCTGTGGTTGGAGTTCATATTTGCACCGATTCAGACTGCAGGCCAAAGAGAACCAAATCTGATTTTTTTTTTTTTTGTAGAAATGTGACTCTGATCTGATTTTTGTTTATGACATTGTGAACAGCCCAAGTCACATGCAATCTGATCCTTTCCGGTTCGGATTTGGTCTTCATGTTTTGAAATGTGACCTCAGGTCGGACAGTCAGATCAGAGTTCACGTGACTCATAATTCTGCGTCTCGTGCATGCTAATGTCCCGATGGAAACAGTAGAGAAAGAGAGTTTTAGGGCTTATACCTGCTGTCCAGAGTCAGACTGGACACAAAGTTGTAAACATTTGTCATAAATCAGGAGAAATACAGGAAAACAGGAAAAGGGAAAGTATGAGATAGCCTTCATGTGTACTTCCATACTGTGGCGTGCTTGTTTTGAAGTATTCTTCTGCGCATGCGGGTCTCTTTCAGGCCGTGGACAGTTCACACTGGAGTCTGATATAAATCATTTAAAAATAATGGATCTGGGTAATAAATTAAGGCCTGCAGTGTGAATGTAGCCATAAAGTCCAGAAAATAATAAAGACACACAGTTGCTGCTACCGGCCCTAAAAAAAGCATCTGCACATTCATTATAAGCGTTGTGTGTTTTTGGATTTTAAACGGAGAAACAGGCTGTTTCATTTTGGCGATACGTGGTTCTCACAGGGCAGCGACGCTAGAAACACATCATTTTATAGACCATGATGCATTGCTGCAGATTAAACTACCAAACAGGATATAAAGGAGTTAAAATGAGCTCAACCTTAAAGATCTACAGCAGTAAAAAGCAGCATTCACGTTGATGCAGCAGGAATATTAATCCAGAAACACCAGATATAACAAAGGAACACTGACGGGAACATTTTACTGCACTGTGAGTACTTTCATACTTAAACTAAGTTAAGCTAATAATATTTGTTTTACTTAAGTAATGTTTGAATGCAGGACTTTTCCTTTTGGTGAAGTATTTCAGCAGTGAGGTATTAGTACTTTTACGCAAGTAAAGGATCTGAATACTTACCGCTGGTGTCGGCCTGATAAAATGTTTCTACTCTACTCGAATTAGGTGATGAGGAGCACCCGATGTGTGTGTCAGCGTGTTTCATACCACAAAAGAGGTGATGCTCCTCTGCGCAGACTCCCACTCAAAGCAGCTGTTGATGTACGTCCCGTAACTAATCAGGACCATGATGCACCGCTTCACACGGTTAAAGTTCTGCTGCAGCAACTAAAACACACACATTATAATACTTCTTAATGGTTCAAGTTTTATAAAACATATATTAGGATGTTTATTTGGGAATACTTCTAATATCATGAACACACACACTGTAGTTTATTCTGACTCAGTCCCACATACACCGACCTGCTGCCACAAGTACTCACTAGAGCACCACACGTGGATTCATCCGCCGCTGAAAGTAGTCCCCAACAAGTGCACTATTTCCTCCTGTTTGTCTGATAGAAACTACAGTGAGCAGCTGTTTGAGGAAATTACCGAGCCTTTTTAAACATGAAACTATATATCTGTGAGGTGTTTTTAAAAGATTTACATCTTCAGGAGGAACTAATGGGCTCGGAGCTGAGAGCCACAGACAGGAAGTGCTGAGAGACGGACTGACAGGTTTTAGTCTGCACATGGGCTTTGTTAACGATAAGGAAAACATAAAGTATCACCAGCATTTAAATATACTGCTAACATCTGTCTGCCAACTACTTTCTTCACATACCACCGTTTTTACCGTTAAACATGCAAACAACAATGTAAAATATGAACTCCTGAATTCCGACCACTCATTTTGCATTAAATTCATCTTGAGTACTTGGGGGCAGAACTTACTTAACCCAACAAGCTATAATCTGTGCCTCTTTGGGCCTTGTAATGTTGGCATGGCTAACATGTTAGCAAAGTATTGCCAAATTACTCCTTACAGAGCATTGGGAATTACAGTCCAATCCAATCACTCTCTTTTAGTTCTGTTTTTGGTCTCTACCGACTCCTGAGGGAAATGTCCGGCTATTTTTAAATTTATTCTTTTTCTTTCAACGTATTTATTGACTTTTATTTATAAAATTTTGTTGTCTTTTGTCGATTTTATTATTTCGCGATTATCATTTCTATTTTTCAGGTGCAACAGTGTCCAATTGTTGTTTTTTGTCTTATTATCAGCTCATCAATCATCTGTATGGCACTTTGAGTTTCACCTACTTCTTATCTGCTATTTATTTTTATTTCCAGTCACTGCACTTTATGTAATAGTCTTATAATTGATCAACCTAATCAACCTACATTTCTTCACTTGTCATGATTAACATGACAGTGTATTATAACATACCTGCTTGGAGACTTTTGGCTCCTCCTCAATGTATTTCTGCTCTGCAGGGACGACAGTCTTCAAAGCAGCTTTAACCTGAAAAGGAAAACACACTCTTAGAAGAGGTCATGTGACCGAGGCAGTACAGATACAGTACTCAGATTCTTTACTTTAGTAAAAGTGTTAAAATACTACTAATACAAATAAAAAGAAAGTCCTTTATTCAAAGTCCTACTTAAGTAAAACAACAGAAGTATTATAATCAGAGCTGCCAAGTCTCAGGCATCGAGCGCGAGACTCTCACAACTCGTCACCTTTCACTCGCTCTCACACGCAGTGAAAAACTCATTTATAACCAATAACGTCGACTCGTGTCATGAATCAACTCCGCCCAGCGTACACCATGACAGTAATCAAGTGGACAGTTTGTGATCGAGTGGTTATTGTAACTGTCTGAAGGGGAAACTACAGCATTAGGAGAGCAATAACGTAATGCAGGTACACTAAAAACATTAATATTATGACTTGACTCAACATGTCAGGGAACACAGATCTGTGGGGGAGATTCTGAATGTGCAGATAGTTTTGGACAAGAGCAGAAAATCTGCTGAAACACAGGAGCTATTAAAGTCCAGGAGTTTCTAACTGAATTAAATTAAAGGAGACCTATTATGCTTTTCCACATTTTATGACTTATCTAACTTTGACAACATAACAAGAACATTTTTGTTGGAATACAATCGATCGGTGGATTACTATGAGGCTTCATAGGTGAGTCGCGTCAATTTTGATTGTACTGGCTGGTCTGACTGAGGCGCTGATTGTACTGTGTACTGCTGTGGTAATTGTATCTTGAAATGGAGGATTTTAGCTTTTCAAACAGTGTGTCATATGAGTATGAAGTTAACATAGCAGCTGTGTGCACGTACCGAAAGCTGCCAACAGGTCATTAACGTGGGGCAGGCTGCACGCTCCGCTGCTGAAATGCTTCTGAGAGGCTTCCAGTGTGAGTTGACACCGTAAATAAACGTCCGTCCCTCAGAATTCCCATGACGCATGAGGGTGAGGGGAGTTTTGTTAAAATGTGCTAATAAGTTCGCCATTTGTTTGAAAAACAAATGTTACTTAATGATTTAGGTTTATTAAAACGTGTCTCCTTAGAATATAGTGTTTTTTGTTGTGGTGGTTTACCATTGAAACCAGGAGGGAAGGGAAGGTTTCATTTGATAAGAACGGTTTGAATTTTCCCGGTACAGCGAAGCTGCATGTGGCGTCATTGTTCGTCCATGTCCTCAACGATCAACTGAGCTAAACTTCATGGTCCACGTTCAGGGCCCCCTAACAGCTGGGGCCCCTCAGCTTATGTATTTACCCCATTGATGTCGTACGTGCTATTTGCTCTTACTAGAATTTATTGTCAGTTGTAGATCTCGTGCTGTATTGATGCTTTATTGCTGCTTGTATGTTCCTTAAATGTAAGTCGCTTTGGATAAAAGCGTCTGCCAAATGAGTAAATGGAAATGGAATTTAAAATGTGTTATATAATCTTATCCACTGTTTTTATTAAAAATTGCAATATGTTAAATTAACTAATTATGTCGTGGAGTACAAAGTATAACATTTGCTTCTGCATTGCAGTGGAGTAGATGTATAAAATAGCATCAAATGGAAATGCTCATGTGCATGTACCTTTCCACCACTGGATAAATTAAAACCATCACTGCAAACATCACAGACACTCACAGTGTTGTAGATAACATCGATCTCCAGGTAGATGACTCCTTTAGTCGGACCTGTCAGCTCTTTATTTTTCAACATGTACCCCTTCTGCTCCCCGTTACGGATCTGATGGAAATAAAACATCACATCAGGGTTTGGATTTATACACTTCAAATAAAGTATAAACAATCTGCGGAAAGTGAGTTCAGCTGTCTTTACTATGTTTACTTCATGTCCTGCATTTATGTGAAGTGCCCAGGTGATGGGATGTGACCACAAACATAATCCCTACTGCAGGGTCCTACTTATGTCTCCTGTTGAACCCTGAAATATTTAATTTTTCATCTTGTTTTAAAGGCAAGTCTTCAAAACCTGTCCCCAGTCTACTGAGAACCAGTATTAGGATACATATTTTATTTATTGTGTCCTGTCTCTTGTTACCACAGACTGTATAAAAGAAGCAGACGTAGCCAGCCTGACGTCATGTTGGTTGGTTTGAAGCAAGTTTGGCATTTTGGCCGTCGCCATGTTGGTTTTTTGCAACCAGACGTGGCCATATTTGGAGGAGAGGGTGACAGGGACAGAGAGAAAAAGAATAAACATAATAATTGTTCTGAAAAGTTTTTAAATTATTGTTATTTTCATTGTCTGTTATTTAAGTAATTCTTCCTTTTATTTGTTATTTTGTTACAGTTTAATATCCACACACTCACACACATGTTTTACGGTTTTATTTACTTTATTTTTAACTATATATATATATACACATGTTATTATAATTATTATTATTTTTAGTGATTAATGAACTGTATAAAATGAATTGTTCTTTTGTAATTTATTTGTAGCTTTAGTAATACTGATGTTTTACATTCATGCCAATAAAGCTAGATTGAATTGAATTGATCTGAATTGAAGTGAATGCAGGTTAAAGGCACTTTTCAGACCCGGATGTTCCTGCTTGCTTGTTACACTCACGTGTAATAAGGGAATGGCCACTTTTCCCAGGAAGTCCGCACTCCTGTCTCTGTCCTCATCAAACACCGTCACCTCCAACACTGAGTGAATGTCTTTCACGTTACTGAGGAAAAAGAAACAAGTCAAAGAGGAGAGGAATAAGTTAGAATGAGTTAGACTACCTGTGTCTATATACAGAGCCATATCAGAGTTTTATTAAATATCAGATTAAAGCCAGTAAAACACCACGTTTATACTTTAATTTTCAACTGTGTAGTATTGTACACCTAGATGTTAAGCATTTTTATAGGATGGCGCATCCTCCTGCCTTGAAGAGATACTAACCTCTACAGAATATAATTAACACTGGTTTTAGTAGAGATACCATGATGTTGGTTCCAAGGCCTTTTCTTGTTAACAATAACATTTTAGGGGAAAAGTTTCCACTTTTGGCACGACAATGGGAACGTTAACAAATAACCAGAGATGTATTCAGAGCTTCTGCTTCAGTAAAAGTACCAATAAAACAATGTAAACAATCTGAAAAGGACCAAGCAACTACAGCTGTCAAATTAAGGTAATGAAGTAAATATAAAATACAAAGATTTGCCTCTGAGACGTAGTGGAGCACAAGTATAAAGTATCAGAAGACACAGCTGAAAGAGACCAAGGATTTCTGCGTTACGTGGTCTGATCGTCACTCACAAAGTGAAGACTTTGTTCCACTCGGGATTGAGGTTCTTGTAAACAGTATGTGTCTGTAGTCTGTCGTTATTCAGCTCCAACACACAGAACGGATCACTCTTACCTACAAAAACAGAGAAGGAAACACATTGACAGCTGCTGTGGGATCCAGAACAGGAGCGTAAAGTACAGTACAGGATGTATGATGAGTGTGTGATTACCGGTTACGTCTGCAGCCATGAGTCCTTCTGCTCTCATCACCTTCACCTGCACGATGCCCACATCTCTGAGGTTAGAGAACGACTTCAACACACCCTGGAGAAGGACAGAGGCACAACAACAGGAAGGTACTCATGCTGCTGTGCTTTGTTTTGCAGTGTATCTGTCTGATACTACAGATAAGAGTTTTCCTTTAATGTGAACCTGTCACACTCTGCCTGTCAGCCAGACCTTGTTTTGCACTTGAGTTTAGTTAATTATCTGTCTTATAGTATGTTGAGTTTTGAGTTCTGTCCTTTCTAGTGCCTGTAGTCCAGTATCTCTTATATAGTCCGTGTCTTGAGTTTCAGTTATTCCTTGTGTCCAGTTACTCTGTGCGCTTGTGCTGGTTGGTCTGTTACTGTCTGGTTGTGGGGTTATTACCTGTCCGCTGGTGTTTAGTAGTGGTTTGGTATTTTCCTGATTTCAGTTCTGTTCCAGTCTCATGTATTAGTTCTGTACCTTCATGCTTGAGTTCTGTCTGCTTGTCTATTTATGTTCTCTGCCAGCTTCATTAATCTGATTTTGTTCATTCCAGTCTCTGTGTAGCCTTTATTATTATTCATCCCCGTCTTACTTAGTATCTGTCCTGTCTCGTATCTTAGTTCTTTGTCCTGTACCCTGGTCTATCTGAACTCTGTTTTACCTCAGCTTCTGTCTGTTTTCCCTGTTGGTGTTAGTTTTGTGTTGATCTGTCTGCTTGTGTCTTTATTAGTTTATCCTCTGGTCTGTTATGTGTTCAGTAACCTGTGTCTCTCTCTGTTTTCCCTGCTGTCTCTCTGTCTGCCTCGTTAGCCTCATGCTCCTCACCTGTGTTGCTCCCGCCCTGCTCGTTAGTCCCTGTGTATATATACCTGGTGTTTCTGTCTTGTCTTTGTCGGGTCATTGTTCGTTGTCACCCGGTGCTGCAGTATGTCCTCTTGTGGTTTTGCCTCACTCGTCGTGTCTCCCTGTTTCTCTGCTCATTTTGGATTTGGATTTCTGTTGGACAACCTTTGTTTTTGGACTCTGTCAATCAGCCACTCAGTCTGTAAGTGTGCTCGTCTTTTGTTGCCTTAAATAAATCACTGAACTGCACCTGCTAGCTTTCGTGTCCTGCGTTTGGGTCCTCCAACCTACTCAACGCTGCCTTCACCACACAAATTGTGACAGAACCTGAGTCATTCACTTAGTTTAGTTATTCAGTTAAAGTTCACACACAGAATTAAGAGTTCTTCTTCAGTCATTTTTCTTTATTTGATTTAAGCAGAATCAGTATATGGTTCCTTCTTTTATTATTTTGTTTCAAACCCCCCCCAAAAAAGTAACTTTGTCACAAAAAACCTCTTGTATTGTTTTTTTTTTTATTTGATTTTGAAACAAAATAATGAAATAACGAACCATACATGGATTAAGCAGCAGCCTCAGGCCCTTCTACCTTTTGTTAATTAGTTGTTATAACTTTATTTTAACAGATCCTCCTGGTTTGATGCTACTTCACTTCACACAACCTGCGTTTTAATTGTTGGACGACATCAGTAGCATCAGGAGTGCTGCTTACGTATCGTTTCAGTATCTCGCTGCGCTCCCGCGGGTCGTCCAGCGGAGTGACGGACAGGTCGGCGATGGAGACGTGAGCCGAGGCGGTCAGCGTGACCAGCAGCACCACGTAGCCCCGGGACTCCTCCAGCGGCAGATCCAGGTGATGAGTTTGTTCCTTAGCGAGAGTGGAGAGGTCCAACTGGCATCTGGACAACAAAAACACACTCTGAGCTCATGAACTACGTACCTAACTAAGATCATTTACTCAACTACTGAACTTTAAATTGCTGGAGTATTTCATTTGTATTATATAACATTTTCTGCACATGCCATCCCGCTACAGTTCAGAGGGATATATTGTACTTTTAAAGTTGCCAGTTTATTAGACACATAGCTAAAACTAGGTGTACCAAAGTGAGAACCTATGGGTCTGAAAAGGGCCTTTAAACCTGCGTTCTCTCTGGCAGCCAGCAGGGGGCGACTCCTCTGTCTGCAGAAAGAAGTGTGATTGTATGGAAGTCTATGAGAAAATGTTTCTACTTGTCAGCTGATTTATTCCCTCAGTAAACACTTTCCTGATGAGTTTATGGTCTCAGTTGTTAGTTTCAAGTCTTCTTCAACACAGCATGATGTTCATTTAGTAAATTATGGTCCCATTTAGAGGAACAGAGACCAGAAAGCAGGGGAGGCTTTAGGGCAGGGCTACAAGCTGATTGTGATAACTGCTGCTCTGCGTACTTTCAACCGGCGCCACTGAAAAAGCTTATTAGGAGACGGCTGTAAAAAATGTTTTCTGGTAAGTACGTTTTGTTGCTGGCCAAAATTAGCATCCCAGTTAATATCATCGTTAACGTGATTTACAGATGCACCTTGCAATCTAAAGCAGCTTTTCGACCAAAAGTCCCCGGATCTCTTTTCAAGGAGTTAAAAGGTTCCTTCAGCCCTCCGTTGTGTGCGTTTCCACTGTGGTCTAAAGACCTGCGAAGATCAGGCGAATTAACCGCGTGACGTAAGCTGTAGGCCTGCACGCCGTACAAAGTGATGCACAGGCATCATTATTTGTAACCACTATCCATGAGCAACATTTATAAATGAACATCAGATTTGATTGGAATATAATGACAAACTATAGGCTTTGCTTGACCATTAAAGCAGCTTGTTTGTGTGGGAGTATAATGAAGAGACACACAAGTTTGTTACACATAATAACAAACTGGATAAAGTTCTTTAACTCCAGCACAGAAAAAGCAACACAAAAATAAAAACGCGACAGTTTGGAAGGTTATTAAAACATTTCCAGACCAGTGTCGCCGGAGCGTCGGAGGAACGTGATGTTTAACGAGCTTTATTACCTCCTGTAATCAGCTGTTCCGCTTGTTTTGGAGAGGAGGAGACCGACTTCGGCTCTGTGTAAAAACCTCCTGACTGATAAACTTAAAACAACAACTTCAGACCCAGTATTTAGCGTAACTCCATCAGCTGTTCGCTGTAAACACACCGCTGCACGCTGGCTGCCATTTCCGAGCAATAGGCCAACATTTAATGCCGACGTTCAATCTCAGGCGGACCTCGGCGAGACGTGTGCTATTTGACTGTTGAATGTGATTTTATTGATTTGCAAACAACGGTGGAAAAGAGAGGAGCAGTAGCAGAAAAACATTCTCCAGTTAAAGCCAGCAGCCTCTACTCGCCCATTCGGAAATTCACTGCGAGGCAAAGTACCGGTACTTTCAGAAAGTACTACCCCGCCCAAGCAGGGACTTTTTGGAGGGTAAAATGAAGACCCCAGAACTACATTTAGACCCTGTTCTCTCTGGGGTATAGTTCCTTTGGTTGAAACGCAGCTCAAGCATGCTCGCACCACCCTCTGGTAGAAAAAAATATGGTCACGTCTGGATCCAAAAAAACTAAGATGGCGACGGCCAAAATGGAAAAACTTCAAAAACGGTAGTCTACTACTTTTTTTAATATCTGATGTATTTTTTTTCAACCACTTTTACATCCACCAGGGCAGAGAAACTATTGTTGAACACCTGTTCAACAGCAGCACAAACTACATCCTCCAAAAAGAAACCTTCAGCACAAACATTTTACCCTTTATGATTTATTGCATGATCCTTTATTTATTTGTTGCATAAATTGGTGTCTGAGTGTGTAAATATATATAGTCCTTTCTTTGCCAGGCTGAAATGTGTGTGTGTGCTTATTGAGAAACTCTTAAAAAGAAGATTTGCATGTACTCATCGTACATGTGAAACCAAACCAAACCACAGTAACGGCACTTTGGTTTGGAAATCGTCATTGTGTCAAGTTTCATCTGCTGTCCCTCGGGACTGACATAAAAGTGAAAACAAACGTAATGACTGCAGATGCTTCCAGACGAGGCACGAGCACTGAATGGTTTGAGTATGAAAATGATGTGAATATGAGATATGGACCCGACTCAACAAAGACGGGAGATTTTAGAGCGAATAATCGATGATCAGGAGCTCTGAAGCCGGAGGACCGACAGCCTACTGACAAACTTTACATTCTATTTGATTTGTCCCCCAAACGTCACTTTTCAAACCCTGCTCTTCGGTCAAATACAACATAAACTTTTATTATTTAACAGATGAAACAAATACATGTAGATAACCAGAGAAAAGACCAAACTGACCGTCCAATGAAGTCGTCCCTCCTCCCGGTGTCTCTGTCCCACACGGTGATCTCCAACACTCCTCCGGTCTCTTCGTACAGATGGAGGTCAAACTGCTCCCTCCATTGTGGACTTAGGGTCTTTGGCACAGTCTGCGCGCGTACACACACACACACACACACCTCCATAACTTCAGAGGACATTACATTGACTTACATTCATTTCCTGGAGATTTACCCTAACCACTACCTGCCTAAACCTCACCTTACTCTAAATCTTAAAACAAGTCTTCTACCTAAAATGTGATGAGATTTGCTTTAGGGGATTTGTGTGACTTGTGTAAACATATTTATGTTCCCACAATATGAGTAATCACACACGGATTAAGTACATTTACTCAAGGAATGTACTTATTGTGTAAATATTGTACATATTTATTTCATAACTTTAGATTAATAATACAAAATTTAATCAACAAATAAATTATGATATTACATCAAGACTTTATTGATCCACAGGGAAATCACACACACACTACTAATCAAAAGCTTTAGAAAACCCCCATTATTCTATTTCTAGTTTGTATGTAAATATAAATAGTTCAACTCCAGTGAAAAACCTTAAACGGTAAAAAAGTAAGCAGCAAACTGCGAAAGTTAAAAACGTTAACGTCACCAAAACAGACATTTTCAGATTAAAATTAACAATTAAATGAGAGAGTTTTGTTCATAATTTCACTGTACGATCAACCGATGAGCAGCTGCTCTGTCTTCCTTCATTAATATCAGAGAGAGAGAGAGAGAGAGAGAGTATGATTTTTTAACTATTTATTTGTATGATACAGCTGCAAATAAGTATTTGAACACCTGTCTATCAGCTAGAATTCTGACTCTCAAAGACCTGTTAGTCTGCCTTCAAAATGTCCACCTCCACTCCATTTATTATCCTAAATTAGATGCACCTGTTTGAGGTCGTTAGCTGCATAAAGACACCTGTCCACCCCATACAATCAGTAAGAATCCAACTACTAACATGGCCAAGACCAAAGAGCTGTCCAAAGACACTAGAGACAAAATTGTACACCTCCACAAGGCTGGAAAGGGCTACGGGGAAATTGCCAAGCAGCTTGGTGAAAAAAGGTCCACTGTTGGAGCAATCATTAGAAAATGGAAGAAGCTAAACATGACTGTCAATCTCCCTCGGACTGGGGCTCCATGCAAGATCTCACCTCGTGGGGTCTCAATGATCCTAAGAAAGGTGAGAAATCAGCCCAGAACTACACGGGAGGAGCTGGTCAATGACCTGAAAAGAGCCGGGACCACCGTTTCCAAGGTTACTGTTGGTAATACACTAAGACGTCATGGTTTGAAATCACGCATGGCACGGAAGGTTCCCCTGCTTAAACCAGCACATGTCAAGGCCCGTCTTCAGTTTGCCAATGACCATTTGGATGATCCAGAGGAGTCATGGGAGAAAGTCATGTGGTCAGATGAGACCAAAATAGAACTTTTTGGTCATAATTCCACTAACCGTGTTTGGAGGAAGAAGAATGATGAGTACCATCCCAAGAACACCATCCCTACTGTGAAGCATGGGGGTGGTAGCATCATGCTTTGGGGGTGTTTTTCTGCACATGGGACAGGGCGACTGCACTGTATTAAGGACAGGATGACCGGGGCCATGGATTGCCAGATTTTGGGGAACAACCTCCTTCCCTCAGTTAGAGCATTGAAGATGGGTCGAGGCCGGGTCTTCCAACATGACAATAACCTGAAGCACACAGCCAGGATAACCAAGGAGTGGCTCTGTAAGAAGCATATCAAGGTTCTGGCGTGGCGTAGCCAGTCTCCAGACCTAAACCCAATAGAGAATCTTTGGAGGGAGCTCAAACTCTGTGTTTCTCAGCGACAGCCCAGAAACCTGACTGATCTAGAGAAGATCTGTGTGGAGGAGTGGGCCAAAATCCCTCCTGCAGTGTGTGCAAACCTGCTGAAAAACTACAGGAAACGTTTGACCTCTGTAATTGCAAACAAAGGCTACTGTACCAAATATTAACATTGATTTTCTCAGGTGTTCAAATACTTATTTGCAGCTGTATCATACAAATAAATAGTTAAAAAAATCATACATTGTGATTTCTGGATATTTTTTTTTTAGATTATGTCTCTCACAGTGGACATGCACCTACGATGACAATTTCAGACCCCTCCATGATTTCTAAGTGGGAGAACTTGCAAAATAGCAGGGTGTTCAAATACTTATTTTCCTCACTGTGTGTAAATATGCTGGGAATGACAGCATTATTATGCCGTTTTCTTTGGCATAACTGAGTCCATCAATGGACAGATGAGACGTGTGGTTGACCAAAACGAGGAAACAGGGCTTCTCCTTTGAGCACTTTGCACGTTCATTAAAATGTTTCAGGAAGTCAAATCAAAGTGCGTATCTTTCATCCATCCAGAGGGATTTGCTTCCCATTTGCTGCCAGGTGGTCCGTTGATCAGGAAATTATTGCGGAAGTTGACACGGGGGAAATAAAATATGAAGGTATACTACTCTGTGGCTGAGACAGCACAGGCCAGTGTGACCACTTCAGTGGAGGTCAGTGATCCTGCTTGTTTGAATCCACGTCTGGCCGCCACTTTGTCAGGATTATGTTTCATCAACATACGTCTCCTGGTCCTAACTCACATGTCTGTAACACTTTGTAAAACATTTTCTCTGTTGCCCTGGCAAGACTAGTTTCTCAGCAACAGCGTTGTGTGCCGCTTTAAAATGGCGACGTTTTGAAAGTCTAAACAGATGTTGCATATTTATTGTTGCCAACTTTACTGGAAGTTGTATATTTGTTGTTGCTAAGCATTGCTAACTTGACCACGGAGCCCTAAATGTCAAAAAATGACTTAAAAGGGAGTTAAAAAGTGACGCCAAACGGCCTTGACTGAGCGTCAATATGTGATGAGTCGGGAGTGAGAACGTGTTGTAACCACCAGCTAAAACACTGAAGTTGCATTAAAATTATAATCCGATAATATACATTACATTATTCAGAAATGGGCCATTCTGCAAAATGAGTACTTTCACTTTTGATACTATAAGTATATTTGATGCTAATACTTGTAGTTTTACTTCAGTCAAATGTTAAATGAAGGACTTCTACTTGTAGCGGAAGATTTTTTACACTTTACAGTAGTTCTGAGTACTCCTTCTTAAACCCGGGACAGAGGTCAGCGTCAGCATACCTTGCTTCTGTACTTCTGGGGCCCCAGTCTGAACTTGACGTAGGGGTCACTCAGACCGTTTGGGTCCATGGGAATCAGGTTCCGGCCTTCGATCAGCGCGATGCTGACAATCCCTCTCCAGAGCTGGGATTTCCGATGCAGCTCTGAGAGACGCATTGACTGCTGCTGCTTGGAGACACACACACACACACACACACACACACACACACACACACACACACACACACACACACACACACTGAATGTTACGTGTCACATGTCACATGTCAGGAAAGAGACAGACAGCATGCAAAAAACCCAAAAGCCGCCATAACTGTTTCTCTCAATGACTGAAGCTAACGTCACTTAAGCTAACGTCAAAGAGCTTCCATGTGTAGATGATGTGATGAAAGGACCAGAAGTCGTTGGATTAAACACATCAGGTGACAAACATCTGTGCGTGGAACATAGCTAAGCTACCTAGCTGGTAGCAACCAAGCGCTTGAACGTTAGCTTAGCATTACGGCGCTAACATGTTGTTAGCATGAGACAACAGATTTAGTTCATTGAGCGATTTCACACAAAAATAAAAGTTACTTTACTGTTTTACGATGGACAAAATTATCTTTTAAACTGACAAACATCATGGGTGTTATTCAGCGCACAGTTCAAACAGGATCAATAAATAAGTTGTCTCTCGACGTTGACTACCGTACATATTTTTTCCAAAATAAGGTAATTGAGTAATTATCAGAATTTCAAATCTATATAATAGTGGAGATTTAACAAAAACAAATAAAGATTCATAATTATCTGGAAAAACTGCAGTGTTTTTAATAGGTCTTAGAAAACAACTGAGCTCTTTGGCACAGAGGAAGAAGCAATATCAGGCTTTGGATTCACTCACAATCCTTCATTGGATTTATTGACACTTCTCCCTTAAAATGGAAATCAAATCAATTCTCTAAGTGCTTTTAAGAAATTAGCTGGATCAGATCAGATGGATACAGTTTCGGTTCACAGCCAGATGGGAATGACAGCAGCTACAACACACAACATTCAACGTTTGAGGAGCTCAGTACACAACATGTTTGACGTCTTGCGGCTTGAAAAAATCTTTGACACGAGACAAAAAAAAAAACAAGGTCCTGATGCCAGAATATGCAAACACAGCAGTGACAAACATGGACATGGAGGTGATCAGCGTGAACTTTTCAGGACAGTCAATGGTAAGCTGTGACGGCACACACAGACGACGACGGTGATGATTTACCTTAGTGGATCGTTTCCAGGACCTCCTGAGCAGCATAGTCTGAACATACATTAAAATACATTATTTAAACAGACTCCTGCAGGGAAACACTAATGGTTTAACAAGAGGGCTGCTAAAAAATGTCAAAATGAAAAAGCCTTTTTTAAGCCACTAGGTGGCGCTACAGGTGCAGGTTAATCTTTAACTACAAGGAGCTAAAACAAGTGATGACGGAGGGGTGCGCTGTTTAAGTCCAACCTCAATTGAGCTCCATGAATAAAGCATCTGAAAATAGAGTATAACTGAGAAATGTTCTCTTGACTGGTGCTGAATATTCATTATCACGGCCTCATTAGCTTTAATGACATTGATGTATCTGAGCTCTCTGTCTTCAGCTCTCTGTTTTTCTGTTGTTGTTGCTTTCAAACATCCTCATTCCTCGTCACTCCTTCTCATTGTCGTTTATCTCTTCCGCTCTGACTGGAGATGCAGCACAGACTTGACACTTGGCCTATAATTAATTTATAACATAAACTGAATAAAACATGTACGAGACCGGCTGTGTTTAATGTCTTAGTGCTGAGGATAGATTTTGAAACCCTCTTCGGATACTCGCATACTGATCAAGGATGTTATACGTGAAATAAGAACACAGCACACAGGCAACTGTATGAAAAACTGACAGTAAAGTCTGGAAGCAAAGGATTTGAATTAGCAATTAACCTAAATGTGAAAGTAAATTTAAATACTGTACCAAATACCAAATATTCTCTCTCTCTTAGCTCTGTTCTGTCTCCACCAGCTCCCGAGGGAAATATCTGGCTCTTTAGCTGCTAAATGTTCACCAGCTGCTCTCTCAGGGTGTATTCACACCTGTCTTGTTTGGTCTGGTTGATAAAAGGGTTTTGTTTCCCCACTTGGTGCAGACTTTTTACCAAGACCCAGCTGAAGACGTGGTCTCGGTCTGATTCCAAACGGACTCCGGTTCGTTTAAGATGTGAACGTGGCCCAACCTTGTTTGTTTACAAATTTATATGAAAACACTGATTTATGCAGCTTTTTTTTGAAGATAATTATTGATTCCACCCTGTACGCAGGATAAGCGGTTGACGGTGGATGGATGGATATTGATTCGAGTTAGGGACCTTTGTTGCTTGTCATTTCCTCCTCGTCCCATGACTTCCTATCACCTCTATGCTTTCAACGTTTGGAAAGAAAAAAGAGGCAAATTCCCCCGAAAATACTTAATATTAAATAAATTGCACTCGAACTGGATTAGTGAACCTCTGTCCTATCAGGTTACATTCTGTTAGTCATGTGGTTTCTATATGAAGCTTTTGATAAAGAAGAAATTATGTGCGTTTCCATCAGATGGTTTGGAACCAAATAAACCGGGTTCTGCAAGCGTAGTTACGTCAGTAGTTGATGTTGCACATCGCTGTAATAAACAAGACGTATGGGTTCCAAACCAAAAATAAAACCAATTGCATGAACCTGAGGACCATTGATCTTGCTCAGAAATGTGTTTCAAGCGGGCAAGTTGCTACCAGCCATATGTCTCCGCAGGTTATGAGAATATCCGGTGTTATGACGAGTTTCGCATGCCTGCAGAGAATTGCATGCACTTCCAAATAATGCTTTTAAATGCTATAATATCCTTTGTGGGGTTCATCAACGGTGATAAATGACTCAAAGTATGTATTTTATGAATGTTTAGTTGTTAATATTTTATTACAATCTCATTCATTGCATTCATTGAGATTCAGCAAAAAAATATGCGGTGATAATCCAGTTTGATCAGTGTGCAGAGCATCTGAAGTATCTGAAAAGGACCTTTTAAGAGGAGAATGCATAATTCAGCAGAACAGATGATGAATGCTACCTGCTCAGATTTGCATCAACCTCTTTTCTCAGCACAAAGGAGCGTTACCAGCCGCGAGGTGCGGGAAATTCTTGGCAGGCGTGCAGAACTCTGCACAACAAGACGCCGACAGCAGAAACAGCTGATCAGACGTGAGTTACAAGTTCGCTGCGTCAGGACTTATTCTGAAAAAGTGTTCCCATCTCCCGTTTAGCGCATTTACTCTTTTTTGACAAAGGCAAAAACCACCTCAAGCGAGCGTGAAAACCTTTTTACAAAAATAAGGATTTTTTTAATTTTTATTTTGCCGTTTCCATCAACGTTTTTTAATGCGCATTTTGAAGCATCGCATTAGAAAAGGTATCACGGCTACTGTGTGCGTCCTACCCCGTCATGTTAAACAGCTGTACGTAGTCTTTCGTGGCTCTGGAGGAGCTTCGTCTAGACTGAGAAACTAACCTGTGTTATGTCATATGGAGATTATGTACATGGGCATCAACAAGACAGCAGAAGAATGTAGAATGACCTTGACCCATGTAAGGGACTAAAAGTCAGAATTTCTCGATCTCTGCTGCTTCGATTTTGGTCAAATAGAGTGTATATATTCGAGTAATGGAGTATTCAGTAGTGATTCAATTTCACAATTAGATTTTCATAGTTGCCGTGTCTTAGCTTCCATTTGTTTAACTGTGGTTCAGTTTTAGCCTTCTGATCAGCCACATTGAGCTCAATGGTGATGTTGCAACAGTATCTATATTTCATGTTTATCTTTATTTTCATTCGTAAGAGCTGCTGGGGAAAGATGAAGCCGAACAAACTAAAAAACAAAAAGAACCTGCAACTAAAAAACTAGATTCTGTCTACTGCGACTGATGCTAGATTAGGAGGCAAAGTAGGAAAGCTATGGGAAGTCACTACGAGACCGATCACCACTACACTCACTTTATTCACATAGGGCTTCCACCGATACACCTTAACCTGGCTTTGCTGCAGGAAACACAAACAGCAGCACAGAGATTCATTATTCTCACAGTGGTGTGCTGAGCAGCTGATGGCAATGGCGTATTGTATATTGTGTATTGTATTTGTTTGCATCTAACTTGTGGTGGTCGATTAACGTAAAAATTTACACCCCGCTGGCTGCCATCACGTTAATTATTAATTCTGGCTGCAAACAGGTTACAGGTTTATTGTTGATCATGTAATATTACAGTTTTATTTAGTTATAACGTTACACTGGTTTGAGAGTCTGCGGTTGGTGTTGACTTACAGTAGTTAATAAGCTGTCATTAGTTGCATTACATGGTTCTGCTCTTTAGGTTTAAAACAGGTTACAGTTACAGAATCCCTTATAGCTCTGCAGTTTTATTAGCAGCCTGGATTGAACGCAGCAGGTGATACAACATTCATTATAACCACGAGAGACTTGAGACTTGACTTGGACTGTAGCTCAGAGACTTGAGACTTGACTTGGAATCTAGCTCAGAGACTTGAGACTTGACTTGGACTGTAGCTCAGAGACTTGAGACTTGACTTGGACTCTAGCTCAGAGACTTGAGACTTGACTTGGACTGTAGCTCAGTGACTTGAGACTTGACTTGGACTGTAGCTCAGAGACTTGAGACTTGACTTGGACTGTAGCTCAGAGACTTGAGACTTGACTTGGACTCTAGCTCAGAGACTTGAGACTTGACTTGGACTCTAGCTCAGAGACTTGAGACTTGACTTGGACTCTAGCTCAGAGACTTGAGACTTGACTTGGACTCTAGCTCAGAGACTTGAGACTTGACTTGGACTCTAGCTCAGAGACTCGAGACTTGACTTGGACTCTAGCTCAGAGACTCGAGACTTGACTTGGAATCTAGCTCAGAGACTTGAGACTTGACTTGGACTGTAGCTCAGTGACTTGAGATTTGACTTGGAATCTAGCTCAGAGACTTGAGACTTGACTTGGAATCTAGCTCAGAGACTTGAGACTTGACTTGGAATCTAGCTCAGAGACTTGAGACTTGACTTGGAATCTAGCTCAGAGACTTGAGACTTGACTTGGACTGTAGCTCAGTGACTTGAGACTTGACTTGGACTGTAGCTCAGTGACTTGAGACTTGACTTGGACTCTAGCTCAGAGACTCGAGACTTGACTTGGACTCTAGCTCAGAGACTCGAGACTTGACTTGGACTCTAGCTCAGAGACTTGAGACTTGACTTGGAATCTAGCTCAGAGACTTGAGACTTGACTTGGACTGTAGCTCAGTGACTTGAGACTTGACTTGGAATCTAACTCAGAGACTTGAGACTTGACTTGGACTGTAGCTCAGTGACTTGAGACTTGACTTGGACTGTAGCTCAGTGACTTGAGACTTGACTTGGACTGTAGCTCAGTGACTTGAGACTTGACTTGGAATCTAGTTCAGAGACTCGAGACTTGACTTGGAATCTAGTTCAGAGACTCGAGACTTGACTTGGAATCTAGCTCAGTGACTTGAGACTTGACTTGGAATCTAGCTCAGTGACTTGAGACTTGACTTGGAATCTAGCTCAGTGACTTGAGACTTGACTTGGACTGTAGCTCAGTGCTCAATCCAGCCTGCACTCATCAGTATGTTTTCAGAGTAATATCTGACTTTCTCTTTAATGTAAAATAATATTTTCATGTATTTCTATAAAGAAAATATTCATTTTATAAAGTAACTAAATCAAATCAAGCTGAACAGACAGACATAATCACCATCATACGTACCGTCGAGTCTCGTCGTTCCTCTATGGGGCTGTCTTTAGGAGTCAGGGTGACGGCTAGCTCCAGGCTGCCCAGGTCCTGATCAGGGTGGTGAGGGTCCTTCAGCACCAGAGTTACAGGTATCGTCCTGTAACCCACAGGTAGGACAGGCGTAAATATACTGGTTGTGCTGCTACAACACACCAACACAACAGGCCCAATTTGCCTACATGGCCAACAGTGGAGCCTGTCTGCTGAACCTCCTCCTCCATCAGCACCTGGATCCTCTTTGCAGACTTCAGCTCTGCTTTCAATACCACCCAAAGGAACCTCAGGATCCTGAAGCTACACCAACCCAACACCCAAAATAAAAATAAATATATTCCCCGTTGTTGTCGCCTGTCATTGTTGTGCCCTCCAGGCACAAGAAAGACTAACTAACTAATGAAAACGAACCATAATAATAATAATATCAATATCAAATCGCAAAAAGCAATGCATGGAAAATGTTCAGTATCCCAAGAACGTGATTGATAGAGGAGGATCCATGATCAGTTAAACATGCATTTAGAGTTTCAGTGCATCCACAATAATTTGTAAAACGAAAAACCGTATGCAAAGACACACAAGTCATACCAGATGAATATCAAACGACCGCAAATACAACTACAGAGAGTATAAAAGAGTAGAATATTGATTAATGCAACTGTAAGTGCTTGTGGTTGCATTATTCTGTTGTGGTACAGTATTCTGCTTTTGTATCGAGTAATGAAGCTGAAAAGAGCAGCTTTTCACTGTTTGCTGACGTACCTCTGTTGCTCTAGAGACTCCAGGTAGAGGAAAGCAGAACCCATGAAGTCGTCTTGAAGGCCGAAGTCGTAGTCAAACACCTGCAGAACAGAAACATCCACTCACTCTTATGTTCATTAGGAATTCATTTGGAAAAGCTGGGTTCATGAGTGCCTTTACCTTCACATACAGAGGTTCACTCAGACTATCCATTATTAAAGTGGTTTTCTCGTCCCACACTGGGTTGAGGTTTTTGTGGATGATTTTGCTTCTGAACACCTCTTTACCAGCCAGCTTGAACTTAACATAGGGATCGCTGCTGCCTACAGAAAGACAAATAAAGTTGTCAGAGAGATCCCTAATGACAAGAACAGAAAATAAAAAGAAAAGAGGTTTACCTCCTCTGTCTCTGACCGCCAGATTGTGTCCTCTCTTCAGCTCAACCTCCAGCTTGTACATCCCTGAGCTGAGGACGGCTCGCTCAGAGGGGACACCTGAGGAGCACGGAGCTCCCGCACCCTGCAAGGAGAAACAGATGCATTCATTACAAACGACTTGAAATCTGCTGCTCCATCACCGTGCAAGCCACACTCTGAAAAGTAAACTCACCAACATATTAAAGAAAATTAAAAGCCACTATAAGTCGTTGAATCGTAGCCTTCACTTCCTCAGTTGCATCTGCACCCACTACAGCTGCACTACTAACACTGACTGAAATGTCTTGTTCAGCTCACTATCTTGTCCCAGGGGTGACCACTGACAGGAAATTACATGAGAGTAGCTTCCTCCCATCCAACCAAAGTGTTTTTGAGCTGATATTTTTTTTTTCCCCCACTTCCACTGCTGCAGCACCTCTGCTGCTGCTGCAAAAACTGAACATAAACAACTGACATACTGTTGTACACTATGGCTTCACTCTGCTTCATGACCTGATACAGATGCAAGGGAGGATTAATGTTTCTGTGAAGACTTTTTAAACATTTAGAAATTGGTTTTATTGTCTTGACAACAGGCTGAACTCACTATACCTGCATGCATTTACAAAATTCTGTAACTTCTGCCCCTATTTAAAACCATTAACACACACATACAGGAAAACCCCAGATGGATTACTGGGCCAGGTTGAACCAAGGAGTCAGGAGGGTCCGAGCCTCTGAAGTGACTGTTAATATTTCTTATTGGAAACTAAAACAACTAAAAAGTGACACAAAGCCTCAGGTAAAGTTTAGATTTTATTTACATATATGATCTAGCAGACAAGCAACTGTAGGTCAAACTGCTGAAGACGTTGATGGTGGTTCTGATAGAAAGGTGTCAGGGCATACACAGGGGAGTCCAGGTCTCGATGGGTCAGGGCCGTGTTGGAGGCAAAAGAAAGACCAGCAGGTGGTCATAATGTTTTGGCTGATTGGTGTAAACAGTGAAGTAGGTTAGTTCAGTGGTTGTGCCCCTCCAAAGGGTCACCAGATAATACAACGGACTGAATTTTAGTTGAGTTTGAGGCTGAAATCTGCGCTGCAGCAAAGACGCAGGTCCTCCCACTCATATTCAATGGGGTCGCAAGTTTGTGGGACAGCTGTGGGGTGCCAAAAAAACCCCAAAACAAATTACAGCGACCTATGTGGAAGTGTTGAAACAGAATCAACTTTTGAAACACAAAAAAAAAGGAAGCACAGAGGGTGGCAGGCCGTGGCTGGAGCGATCTGGATGGTGGTGTTTGCTGGAATTAAACTGGAGAGGCAGGGTAACAATGAACAGGTGAGCGAGGTCCTGCAGCACGAGAGAGAGAAGGTATTAGCAGTGATGGAACTGCGGGGGAAGGGATAGAAACGCCAATCAGGTAGTAAAAGTTGGGAGGGAACAGTGTTCCTGCTCAGGTTTTGAAAACAAAATGCACAAATCCAGCCACTGTCCACACAGCTAATGTGAAGGCGTGACAATGCAGGGTCCCTGGAACTAGTCCCAAAAGCAGCGTATAGGTCAGCATTTTTATCCCTACTGGCTACAGGTGTGCTGGGAGCTGCAGTGATGTTGACAGTACAATTAAAATCCGAAAGGATGCAGAAAAGTCCGTGTTGAAATCACAGAAATGCTGCTCTCTGTGAGCTCCTACACAAACACACACACGCGGATCGAAGTAATCGATGGTGGTGGTTCGCTTCCTAATTTCCTCAAACATTTCTGGCGTCCTTGACAAAATCAAGCCTAGTTAATGTACGTTAATCTTGTTAGTTGTTGATAATTCATATGTTTGTTGTTGGACAGGACAGGAGAGAGGAGACAGCATGAGAGCAGCAGAGCAAAGAACAGTAGGAGGAAATGTTTTGGAAAGCAGAATAAGCAGCGTCACCAAGTCGGTCGATATCGGTAAAAACTGACATTTCAATATTTTTATACTGCGATATGAAAAATACAGGAATAATTTTGACTTCAATTGCTCTATTTGAAAAGAATTAAGCATCCTAGAATTATTGGGGTGATTTAGTAGGGAAAATGCAAAGAAAATAAAAACTGCAAGCAGCGATGAGCCGGCACGAACACCTCCCGCTCGTCAGGGTGTGCTGCACCCGTGTAGCTGTTGCATGCGTTCTGTCATTTCCGCGAGGGAGCTGAGCACAGCCGCTGAATAGTAGGTGGCGTTGTATGTAGATGTCTACAGGGCAGGACTTGAAGTTAAAACTGCACATATCACACAGACGATGTGTGGAAAATATGTGACGATGTGTGGTTGATGTGTCAGTTACTACTTCAATTCAAAGTGGCTGACTATCAGAGGGTTTAAAGGTACAGCTCTCAAAAAACAGCTTCCTGTTTCATGGCGAATAATTACTTGCCAAGGCTACATTTGAGCATTTACAAAGAACTCAAAAGTTTCACAATGTTACATCATTAAAGCGTTATGGCTTTCCTGCAGATAAAGTTTGAAATTTTGGCGCTATCACTAGGACATTTTTGAGTGCAAATGTGGCACCCTGGGTATTTCAGTAGTTCTAGAAGTGTTATTGTATTACTTAAGATTGCTACCATAGACCCCCGTCATTTTTGTTTTGTTTATTATTATTAAGCATGCTTTGTGTCACTGTTAATCTGGAGGAAAACTCACCTGACTAACTTTAAGAAGCAGTAGAGCTATACTTATGCCCGCCAGCAGGCGGCAGTAGCGGCTTCGGTACTGGAATGAGTGACGCTATAATCCCGTTTTACAAGGAAGTTAGCCCAGGCGTAAACGTAAGACAGTCAACAAAGCAGCAGATGAAGCTGATATTCATTCAAGACTGTCTTTGTGTTATATTTACAGCGATATAAACTGAAATTGGCACCTGAAACCACCATGTCTTCATTTCGGGTGTAACACAAACTTTCCTTTCTTGAGCTTTAATTAGGGCTGGGCAATAAAACAATAATGATAATTATGGCAATATAATTTTCCTTAATAACAATATAATTAATGTTCAATATATCGTCAATTAATATTTGGTTTAATTCATTTGAGTGACTTACAAATTAGTACTTTATTTTTCTATTAAAATATTTATTTTGTTGTGGAAAAGGGACTAGAAAAAGATCACACACTCAAACTCATCACATTTGTTGAAAAAGATTTTATCATAATAGTTTTGAATGTTCTTCGTCAGATTTGTGAAGTGATCCACTGTTTGGCATCAAGTCACATTCTGTCCGAAAAGAAAAGTTTAACCACATAATTGACCATCTGGCTTCTTCAGTTTACACTCCAGAGCAAAAATCTGCCTTTAAACTTAAAGAAATAATGATTTGACATTTATTGTGATAATTATAATTTTTATTATCGAATGATATGAAATGTTTTTATCGTTATAACATTTTTGGCCCTATCGCCCAGCCCTAGCTTTAATGCAGTAAATATATTTTAAACAAAATTATACAAATAAAAATAAAAGAGCAGCTATGCACTTGCCACCTGAGTGCTTTGCAAAAGTTGCTTTTCTTTTTGCAAACAAATCCACATTGCCGGTGGTTTTCTCCTGTTCCTCACTTATTTGTTGTCGCCAACTAACAAGGTTTGGTTGTTGGGTAAACTGATCAAGAACAATATTGGTCAATAACCAATAACTAGCAACAAGCTCTGTTTATCCAAGAACCCTTAAATCAGAGTAAATGAAGTTACATCAGTCTCCTCTGGTAGATTAGTCATGGAAAATATGAACCGTGCGAGTTTTCCTTTTGTGTCAAGCAGCAAAAAAGTTGAGGTGGTAGAGTTTATTTGACTTTCTTGACATTGCACTGTTCTGCAATGTGACTATTGCGCATGGGCACATTGCTATGACGAAGCTGAAACGATATATTGTGCAGCCCTTCTTTCTCTAACCTCCATCAGCAGGTAATACAACTTAAAATTATATTAATCCAACATTTCAAGTTAAAATCAGAATGGCATTATTTGCCGAGTACATGTATTTAAGTTGGCGGCTGTTGTGTAAGTGCACACAGCATCACCGACTTGAGACAACCAGAAATCAGTTAAACACATTATGAAACACAGACTTTCTGTTTCCTGAGGCTGAAAACTTTTGAAGCGTGCCAAGTTCTGCTATGGCATTTTGCAAGATGCGGAAATTCCACCAGGCAGTAACTCAAAACATGGTAATAAAATAAGCGAGACCATCCTGTGTGATACAAGGAGGCTGAGTGAGTCTGGCTGGCTGTGTGGAGAAAGGTTGAGCAGTCTCTGTCCTCAGATGAAGGATGTGACAAGTGGGGTAATTCCAGTTCAGACATGATGATGTTAAATAAGGAGACAGAGTCAATCAAGCATAAGAGGACAGTAAGAGGTGTTCCAGGTTGACTTTACATAACAGAAAATACTGACATACTTTTATCATCTTATAGCCGTTTTGGCTAATGTCAATGAATGATTACAGACGTACACACAACCCACAGTTACAGAGCAACATTATCAGTAATTTGGAGTCGTGTTTTTGTTTGTTTCCACCTGCTGTTTCAGCTTCTTTCAGTTCATTGTTTTGATTTTATGACCAGCAGCAACATTTCCAGCACCAGCCAGCAGCTGTTTTTATCAAACAACCTGTAAACAGACAGACAGACACAGTTTGAGACGAGCTGGTGAACATTGTGGAGCATTTAGCAGCTAAAGACACAAGCTCCCTAACCCACCAAATTGCCAAAAAATTAATAAATTAAAAAAGGAATAGTTTAATATTTTGGGAAAGATGTGTATTCACTTTTTCCCCCAGAGTAAGATGAAAAGATAAGAACAGAGCTAGAGCCGGGAGGCCATTAGTCTAGCTTTGTGTAAAGACTGGAGGCAGGGGGAAACAGTTAGCCTGACTCTGTCCAAAGTTCAAAAAACATCTACAGAAGCCTCCAAAGCTCATTTGTTTAATCTTTACACAAACAAAAAAGTAAACTTTTGTGGTTTGGAACGAGGTACTGTACGTGGTGCAACCAGAAAAACAGCACTACAGGCAAATCGTTCAAGCAGCTTATTGCGACCCATGTTTACATTTAATGTTAGGCCG